AAACCTGGGTCATGTGCTCATCCCAGTCAGTCTCAGCAGAGCCAAATGGATTGAGAGTGGGGAAGGGGTGGTTCTTGAAAGAAAAATAAAGACGTTGTTACCACACCAGGGAGGACTGTGCGCTGGGAAGGCAGCACAACAGCACAAAGGTCCCGGACTGCGTCTGCCTCCTACACCCCTGTCTGGTAATCATGGTGTTCTGTGTCCCGTGTCCTGACCAGCTGGGAAGCGCTAAGGGATGAAAACCTCGTCCTTCATCTCGTCTCCCAAAGCAGACACAGCTCAGTCTCCATCTGGCGATAAACAGCCGCTGTGGAATCAACCCTTCGACCACGCACAGCCTGGGGGAGGGGGGGGCTCAGCCCTCGGCCTCTGGGCCTGTCACCTCCTCCCATGGTGGACCTAGCCCGAGAGGCGAGGGAAAGAACGATTCCACCACACCTCAGTCTCCTTTCTCAGCAAGACGGAGACCCCCAGATACACTGTCCATTGCAAAAGTCCGTATGTACTCACACCTGGGTGCCTGTGTTTTTTATGAGACGGGGGCAATGTTTATCAGGATCAAAACGTGCCCCATCTTCTGTGAATATACTAAGAACAGCTACACATTTCAATAGGGTAGATTTTATGGTATATGAATTATATCTCAACAAAGCTTTTGTTTTTTTTCATTAAAAAATTTTGAAATTCAAAAATGGGCAGATGTAGTCTATGGTGAGAGTGGTCAGAAAAATGGTGACCTGGGGGCTATTGACTGTGGGACCCAGGAAGATTCTGGAGGGAACGGTGTACATCTTGATCTGGTGGTTAGTACGTGGTATAACGTGTGTAGAAATTCATTCAGCTGTGTACTTCAGATGTATACGCCTTAAAGCACAAAAGTTATACTTCAATAAAAAGTAAATCCCCCAACTGCAAGGTGTTTTTAAGCGAAGAAGAGAAACCAGTGCCAGAGTAATTCAGAGCACAGGTTCTTAACTGAGAAAACTGGGTTCTAAATCTGGCTCGACCACCTCCTTATCTGTAACCAGCAAGTACAGTGATACCTCGGTTCTCGAACATAATTCGTTCCAGGAGGACGGTCGAGAACCGAATTGTTTGAGAACCGAAGCAATGAAACCAATAGGAAAGCGTGACTCCACACAGCGTGACTCTCTCTCTGCACTCACACTGATGACGCAAGCAAGGCGCGCTGGGCCGAATGAACGCCATTTGGCTCATCTCGGAAGTTCGAGTTCCAAATATTTGTTCGGATTCCGAGACAAAAGTTTCTCGAATCTCCATTTGGTCAAAACCGAGGCGTTCGAGAACCGAGGTATCACTGTACTTGGAACAAGCTACTTATGCTCTCTGTGCCTCAGTTTCTCCATTTGCAAACTGGAAATAATAATAGTATCTTCACTGTTGACATTTTGAATGAGTTAATCCTTGCAAAACCCTTGAAACAGTGGTTGGCATATAGTAAGTGCTCAATAAATGTTATTTCTTTTTTAAATTTTTTTCCCCTTTATGGATTTAGAGAGAGAGGAGGTGAGAGGGAGAGAGAGAGAGAAACATCGATGAGAGAGAACATTGACTGGCCACCTCCTGCATGCCCCTCACTGGGGATCAGGCCCACAACCTGGGCATGTGTCCTAATTGGGAATCGAACCAGCGACCTCTTGGTATATAGGTCAATGCTCAACCACTGAGCCACACCAGCCAGACAATAAATGTTATTTCTATTGTTATTGATGTGGGACAAGGATAGTGTGGTCTCTGTGGACACAGAGATAAAGGACAGCCCTGTCACCCGTGGAGTGCACCATCCAGGGGTGGGAAGCAATCATAGGAAGAGTTCTCACACTCAGCCTGTGGTTCCAGTGCAGGAAGGCAGAGAACTCTGAGTAGGAGGAAGAAGAATGTGCAAAGGTACCTGGTGACCGAGCAAGGGGTACATGAGGAATGGTTCAGTTGGTCAGTGAAGCTGCGAGCAGAGTTTGTGGAAGATGAGGCTGGACGGCAGAGAGAGAGAGAGGTCAGAAAGTTCCTCCTCAGCCACACCGTGGAGCTGGGATTTTCTCCTGAAGCCAAAGGGGAGACACTGGAGAATTTGATGGGGAAGGGACACAGGCAGATCTCTTTTGAGAAAGACCATTCTCTGAATGGGAGGCAGGCTAGAGACAGGGAGGCCAGCTGGGGACTGTACCTGTCCTTCAAGACATATACTGCAATTTGTACATTTAGATCATGTTTTTGCTGGTCTGCTCCCGGTTGGACTGTGCCCTGAAGACAGCAACCGTATCGGTCATGTTCTTAGACATCTCCTCAGTGTCCAACAAAGGGCGATGCTCAGTATTATTGAATGAGCATCGAGTGTGTGAACATTCTGTTCTCAGTTAGCAGGCAGGGGTGCCGAGGGGGGCTGCTGCTGGAATCCAGGCACCATCTCCATGGAGTGAAGGCTGGAGAAGCGGGATGGGGTGGCTGTGTCAGGGCTTCCACCGAGTGGATGTGGAGAGGCAGGGAGACGGGGGAGACTCCTGAGCTTCTGGCTCAAGCAGTGAGGGGGGCAGTGGTTTCACTGACTCTGGGGGAAATGATGACTTTAGTTTGCAACCCTGTGAGACATCTGGTGAGGTGTGTGTGCCCACACGTCACTGGAGAAACAGATCAGTAGCTCACACGCATGCTTTGACGAAGACATAGGGTGGTTCCAAAATATTTAACTACTGGTAAAGCATGGGTGCCCATCCACTGGAATGAATGCGGGCCACAGGGCTGGAGCAGGATGCTGGAGGCCCTGGTTGTGCCGGGATTGTTAACCTGTAAGTTGCTGGACTGAGGAGGTCTAGAGGTCCCAGGGGAGGCCCCCAGACAGCTCAGGGCTACAGCCATTTACCAAGCAGCACGTAACTTCAACCTCTGCCGTGGCTGCACGTGAACAGGGCCTGGAGCTCTTACTATGTGTCGGATGTTGTGCTAAGCTAAACCCTCTCCACCCGCGACCCAATTCCAACCTTACAACCACCCTGTGGAGTACCATCACCGCCATCATCTTAACCACCCTCATCCTCAGCATCATCTCCACTCTAAGTAACACAGGAAGTGGGAGAGCTGTCAGCTCACGAGTGTGCTGATCATCTCACCTGGGAAAGCTCACTGCCGCCTCTGATCATGTTGCTGAATCGTCTGCAATTTAATCAACACTGTCAATAACTTGTGCATATTCCCTGTTCAAAAAGCAGGGCAACCTTGTTTCCTGAAGGTTCCCAGCACTCATGGAAGCATGCCAAGGGATTTCCCGCAGCCTTTGCAAACCTGTTCTAACCACCCCTTGCCCAGCGCTGGCAGAACTGGCCACTCCCTCCTGTGTCCTAGTACACCTGCCTAATAGCACCTGTAATTCCTTATGGCATCTACCAGTTTCCATGACTGTGATCCCTACTGGAATGTAAGCCCTTGGGGACAAGGATCATGTCACATACACTTGAACCCATTGATGCTTAGCAAAACATCTGGCTGTGGGCTCAGTAAGTGTTCGTTGAATGAGCAGACACAAGAACAAGACTGAATTGTGATTGTTACTTGGGGTAAGATCAAGCTCCAATTGCCCCACCATCAGGAATATGCAAATTCATAATGCATTTCTTTCCTCTTCACCACTTGAATTTATACCTGATTACTTCTCTGGCCCTTGTGGATGTTTTCTACTGTAGTAAATAACAATCTATGAAACTACTCCGCAGTCTGAGATTCTAGACTGCAGAAATGACGGAAGGGGCAAAATGTGCTGATGCAACCCACCAACCTGAGAAAACAACGAATTTAACTTTCTCCACGTGCAGGAGCTCGTGTTGCTCAACCCCTCCCCAAATAAAAGCTACACCGGTTATTATAGCATATAGATCGACTCTCAGGCTTTAAAATCAAAATACACGCGATTTGTAACACCTGTCAAGAGCCTTCTTGATTTGCAAACTGCTTTGGGAACATCATGCTCAGAGTCGTGAGGCCTTAGAGATAATGCCTCAGGGACCCGGAATGATTGATGGAGGAAGTTCAGAGATGAGGGGCCCTCTGGCCAGAAAGGAGGGCACAAAGCTGCATACGCACTCAGGTCCTGGCCCCCCTCTGCTCCCCGGGTGGGAGAGAAAAGAGCTTCTCCTGCCTCAGGCTCTGAAACGGAACAGCAGCTGCGCACAGGTCAACATGACCCTGCACTGCTGCTAGAAGGTGAAGGATGCTGTCACGTGAAGAGGGACTGGGTTTAAATCTTAGCCCTGCCATTTCCTAGCTGATGATCTTTCTCGATGCTTCTCAGCCCGCTGGCCCTTTGTAAAATGGAAGATGATAATGCCTGCCTCCCGGAAATATTCAGAGGAAGAGGCCTGTGAACTGCTCAGCACAATGCTGGCACACAGGTACTCAGTAAACATCCCTTTATTAACTAGCAGGTAGAAGTAAAGGAAACATGCCTACGTCGGTCTGTACTAGGGCCGAAGGTTGCTAAGACGGTCTGAGACAGTGGTTCTCAAACCTGGCTCACATCGGAATCATCTGGGGTGCCTTGCAAATCCTAGCGCTAGCCTTCTTCATGCCCACTTCACCCCAAACCCTTGAGGGCAGGCCCAGGCATTTATTCAAGCTCCCAGGAGATTCAAATAGGTGGTCAGGGTTGAGGCCCTCTGCTGTAGCTAACAAGAGCTGGAGTCAAGCAATGACTTACCTGCAGACCTGCTAAGAGTCGATCAAAAGTATGTCCCCAGGCCCCAGAGTGAGGCCATCTTGGTTTCAGAATTGACAAAGAATCTGAAAACTGAACACTTACCTACTTTCTAACCCTCAACATTGCACATTAGTAAAATACATCATAATTACTCAGTCCTCAGAAAGCAACCACTCTAGAAAAATCATAACAAAGCTCAAGTGTTTATTAAGAATTAAAAATACTGTAAATAAGCCATACAGTTCATTTCACAGTAAACTAAACAAACCTTTTTTTATCTTTTTCTTTTCTTTTTTTTTTTTTCTTTTTTCCTTTTTTGAAAGGCAAGACAGCCAATAAGGAATGGTACAGCTCGAGGGGGGGGACACAGCCAACAACTACAGAAAATGCACGTGCCCCTCGCGCGCAGACCTCTTCATGGGCATCGCAGAACACTTGGCCTCTGTGCCCGGGGAGACAGCCCAGGCCTCCGGCCGGCCCCCAGAACACATTTCCCAAGAGGATCCAGGGATGCCCCTTTCAGGGATTATAAACCTTCGCATTATTTGGGGACCCAACTGAGAGGTGACACAGGTCGGCCACAGGGGACTCTGTGGGGTGTTGTGCCTTCACATTCAGAACCGGCTCGGTTCTTTGCATAGCTACCTGCGAGACCAGGAGATGATTCGGGAAGAGACACCCACACCACAGGAGGCCACAGTCCAGCAGCTGCTTCTTTTCAACTAAAAAAACTAGGGGCTTCCCCCTCCCGATTCAGAGCTGACGTTTATGAGTTTTAACCAGTTGAAAGTGGAAGACAAAAACGTGACATCTGAAAACTTCAGCCGGAAATATAAAAAAAAAAGTAGGAAGAATTTTCCTTAAAGACAATTAGAGAGAAAAATGCCCCCTCCCCCCACTCTTTTCACTTGAAATCTGCCAGCCAGGGAGGCTTTTCTGAGGTTAATCTGCTTCGTTAATCCTCGGGTGAAGCCACCGCCATCCTGACACCAGGCGTCCCTGTGACCAGATTCACAGGCGCCGGGCCTGCAGGGCACCAAGAGCCGGAGCAGATCACTCGTGAAACCAGTGGTGTGTGGTAATCATCGTAAATAAATTAACCAGGCGCAGAAGTACAAAATGCTGTGGTGTTCCAATGGTGTCCACTGCTCTTTAAGGGGGGATGAGAGCGTGGGGGGAGGAGGGGCGCAAGGGAGAAAACAACACTTTTTTTTTTTTTTTTTTTTGTCATGAGAAACTGGACTTTCAATCCGCACCCTGCAAACACAATTCATTTAGACTTTTTCATGAATTTTTTCAACTTGCACAAACAACCTATCCAGGTCATTTCTCAGGTCATCGAGCAAACCCTTGGCTGATTCCAGGTTGTTCTCATTGGTTTCTATTTTCACCGAGTATGCCACCAAACTGTCCACGGCAGTCCTGAGCATCTTCAAGTCCGACTCCACTTGGCTGACTGAGGAGGTGAGGTGGTCTAGAGAAGCAAGTCTGTCCAGGAGGTCCTCAGGAGGCACGCGGGCCGCCGCGGCCGGGTCCTGACCCAGCAGCGTGTGCACCTGCTCTTGAACCTTCTGGAGCGTGTCCACAGCGCTGGGGAGCTCGCCCACGCTTCTCTTCAGCTCCTCCACGTCGCTGTAGAGTGAGAGCTGGGCCTCGCCCAGGCTCCTCACGGTGCTGGCCAGGCCGCCCTTGTCCGCCTCGTCGGGCGAGGAGCCCAGGCCGTCCAGCAGCGTCTGCAGGGCGGCCAGGCGCTGCTCACACTCCTCGCTCTTCGCCAGCAGGGCCTCCAGGCCTGCGCTCTGGCGCGCAGAGGCCTTCTGCACAGCCTGCACGCCCTCCTCCACGGTCTGCAGCCGGGAGTCCAAGCCCTGACTCTCCTTCTGGAGTGATGCGAGGGCGTCGGAGTTTCGGAAAACCCCGTCTTCTTCCGGCCGGAGGGACTGGGCCTTCAGCTGGCGCAGCTCCTCCCCGAGCCTCCGGATCTCCTCGGGGAGGCGGGACGTGGCCTCCTCCGACTGGAGGATCTTCTCCGTGAGGGCCTGCAACGTGAGGTGCTCCGAGTCGGCGGCCTCCTTGAACCTCTGCTGCTCCTGCTTGAGGCTCACCAGCTCTTTGACCTCGGTGTAGACATCGGACTCCATGGTCTGGAGGGTGCTTCTCAGGGCCTCCATGTCCTTTTCTCTGGACTTCACGGAGGCTTGCACTTCCTTCACAACTTCCTTCAAGGCTTTCAGATCCTGCTTGTACCCCTCGGAGTCTTCCAGGGAGGCAACCTTGGCCTTCACATCATTTATTTCCTTCTGGCTCCTCTTCTGGACCTCAGTGAAGATGGCAATGTTGTCGTTGATGGACTTGGTGAGCTCCGTCAGCCTCTCCTCCACCGTGTTCTCGAGGGACGTGAAGTCCCGCTCCCGGGCATCCTTCACCACGTGGATCCCATCTGAGAGGTCTTTGAGAATCTCGTTCTGGAGCTTTTGCAGAACTTCGCTGACCCGGTTGATCTCACTCTCCCCTTGCTTCACGACTTTCTCTGTGAGATCTTGTTTATGTTGGAAGTTTCTCAAGATGGACTCAAAAGTCCCAAATGTGGCTTGCAGAGACTGCACCTGTAACCAAAGTCCAGATGTTAATTGCTAAGAAGAGCTGATGAGCGTTATGCAACACAACTCTATTTCTTTCTGCCTGCCCAGTATCCAGGTCCCTTCTATTCTAGAATGGCACAGTTTTTCTCTGGAGAACCATCCTTCCCCATACAATCCATGTGGTTTGGGGGACCAACCTGAGGGCCCCCTCCAAGTGCTCCAGGGATGGTTTGTAACGCAGGCCTGACTAATCAGCACTCTCCATCCACCTTGCCCCCCAAAACTGGAGCCTCAGGGGTTAGCCCAGAGATGGACATGTGGCCGAAAGCAGGCCAAGTCGATTCCAGAACTTCTGTTAAATCTATTGGAAAGAAAACCGCTCTTTCTACTGGGGATTGCTAGCTACAGAATGAAGGAAGCTGGATCTGAGCTGCTCAGACTAGCACATGAAGAGCACAGGTCTAAGAATCGAGCCAGCACAGAGGGAAGCACAACTGAGAAACAAGATAACAAGATCAAGGTCTGAAACACAACTGGAATCCCTGGATACAGCTACACCTGAAGGCATCTCTCCCTCCACTCCTCCTTGAGACACTTTGAACTGAGTTTCTAGAGTCTGCAAGTGAAAGAGTCTCACAAGTTTTCAGAGGAAAAAAACTGAGGCACATGGCAGACACTAGGCTGGGAGGCAAGAGACAAATACCCGGGTCTCTGCTCACCACTTTCAGCTGTGTGGCCCTGAACAAGTCATTGTCCTTACCTGCAAAATGGGCATGGTAGACCAGAAGATCCCTTAGCATTTTGACTTAATGAATACATCATGATCCCACTGGCCATTACACATTCATTTTAAATAAATTCTACCCTAAACAAGGTCTGACCTGGGAACTACCCCAGGGAGCTGGTTTAATGTACTGAGAGGTTGATAGATGATGATTAATGGGCCGGGCTTTATCCTAATGTAGTGCACAGGGCCACCTAGAATGTTTTCTTGCGCACACACACACAAAAAAAAGAACCTGAATCTATCAAGTCTCTAGCTCTAATCCCCAATTCACAAAAAAAACATACAAGAGAGAAACATGCCAGGAGGAAGCAATCAGCCAAATCCAAAGTGAAAAATTCTATAGGACAAATAACCAGCATCTTCAGTAGTAAATGGCATTTTAAATTGAATTTGAAAGAGAGAAAGATAGGAGACTATTACAGATTAAAAGAAATTTAAGCCCTGGCCGGTTTGGCTCAGCAGTTAGAGCATCGGCCTGCGGTCCGGAGAGACCCGGGTTCGGTTCCCACTAAGGGCATGTACCTCAGTTGCAGTTTGTCCCCGGCCCTGGTTGGTCGTGCGGGTGGCAGCCACTCGATGTGTCCCTTTCACGTCGATGTTTCTCTCTCTCTCTCTCTCTCTCTCTTCCTCTCTCTCCCTCCCACTCTATCTGTGCAAAAAATGGAAAAATGTCCTCGGGTGAGGATAAAAAAAAAAAAAAAAAAGAAATTTAAGATTTATCAATCAAATATAATGTGTGGACTTAAATGGATCCTGATTCAAACAAACCAAATGTTATTTTTGAGAGAATCGAAATCTCATTATGAGCTAAGTATTAGAACATAATCAAGAATTATTGTTAACTTTGCTATGTATAATATACTGTTTTGTCGAAAGAAACAAGGCAAAGAGAGGGAAGGAAAGACACTCTTATCTGCAAGAAATAAATTCTTTCAGTGACCTGAGGTCTCAGTCCGTGATTAATTTTAAAATCAGTTCCCAGTTCGCTGTCCACTGGGTCTGCCAGGGCACCACAGGCCCCTCAGAGGCCTGGAACCACTGCCCACATTTTCCGAAGCCCTGCACCCACTCGTGCTGCTGAACCTTCTGGGTAAGGACCGGCCAGCCTCTGCCCTGCTGTGGCCATTCAGAAGACTGAGAACATCTGGAGAACAAGTGAAACCAGGTGGGCACCCAACAGGGCAGGGAGTAGAGTGCTCCAGCCTCAAACTGCTCTCACTCCGATCACAAAGAGAGGAGGGGTGAGGTGGTGATGGAATGAAACGAGAAAAAAAGGATAATTCCTGAAACTGGGATTCATTATATTGATCTCTTCTTTTGTTTGTATTTCAACATTTCCATGATAAAAAGTTAAAAAGTAAAATAGTGTGGGCTCTGGAGCCCGACTGCCAATGTTCATAGCCTAGCTTGGACACTTCCTAGCCGCGGGCTGGTGGGCAAGTTACTTAACCTATCTGTGCCTTGATTTTCTCGGCTGCAGGATAGAAACAAAAATAATACTCGACTCAGGATGGTCTTGTGAAGATTGAGTTAATCTATGTAAAGTGCTAAAATTGTGCCTAACACAGTGAATGATCAATAAATGATAACTATCATCCTCATTATTGTTTCATCTCTCTTTTGAAGTAGCTCAGAAGTCTGGAGATTCCTAGACCATCCTTAGCCCAATGCCACAGGGAAAACACTACAGAAATGGGAACGGGACACCTGGGCTCTAGTTCCAGCCCCACCAATAACCAGCTCTGTGAGCACAAATAAGTCACACTCGATTCCCAAGTCCCAAGCTCCTTGTCTGTTAACAAACAGGTTTCTAAAGTCCCTTCTGGCTTCCACCAGTCTGTGATTTGAAGACAAATTAGACTAAGGTTCTCAGGGACTCTCGGATATTAAACAATTTCCCTGCCCAACCAAATATAACCTGAATCATAAAGGACACTGGAGAGAGCGCTCACCTCTAAAACTAGGTTATGTAATCACAGAACTCGCCTGTTCTAAGCACAGCACTCAGAATAGAGGCGTGAGCAGGTGAGCACAGGACCTGCAACATGGCAGGCGTTCACCAGTGTTTTCTGAATGAATCAGGGAATAAATGAATTAACAGAGGGCAAAGCCTAATGAAGACTGAGCTGGTCCATTTCCTCTCTAATCCAAGACTGTCACCCATACCCTGGGCTGGCTCTTCATAAATGGCTGGGAAGGGGGACTAGATCAGAAATTATGAATGAAACCAAACAAACCCCCAACACTATGAAAAGAACACAGAAAGAGCCCCCCTATTAATGCACCTGTTCCCCCAATATATGTAGGGTACCATTAACTGGTGGTTGCTGAGCAACTTCCCATTACTCTGTCAGAGATAAAATAACAGCTCATACAGGATCCCTGCCCTCCAGTAGTTCACAGCCTGGGGAAGGGGACAGCGGTGACTGTCATTCAACAAAGCACTCACTGTGTATGTACAATAATTATGCAAAGTACTTCAGAGACATTATCTCATCACATCCTCATAATCATGAGTTGGTGGCTCCCATTGGTCTTCATTTTACAAGTGAGGAGCCTGAACAGTGGTAGAGCTGAGAATCAAAATCCCAGAATGTGTGACTTCAGAACCTGAGCTCTTAGCCTCTAGGCAATATACTCGGGCAGAGGTGGGCTCAGTGCACCTAGTGCCTGGAGATGCTGCCTAAACCAGAAGCCCTGATTCCTGGTCCAGAGCCAAAGAGGAAAGCAAAGAAATACGACCAGAGAACTCATTCTTCTACAAATAACAAGTGGTCTCATTAAACTGCCCCCACTAGGCCTAAGCCAACTCTGACAATCACTTTAGGCCACCTGGATCTGCCAGAGCAACCCAGGACCTTCAGCTCCACCACTTAGGGTCCGTGTGTGACCCTGAACTAGTAACAAGAGCTCCAGACTCAGCTGGGTTCAAACGTAGGTTGTCAGGGGACCCATTAGTCCTCACTTCTCAATGCAAAATAACTTATTTACGGTCTACCCAGAGGTGCACACAGACGTGACTACAACACTGTCGCAAATCCTAATACTGCTCTGGGCATGTTCTCAGTTCCAAGTCAATGGCATAAGCATAAATTGAGCACTACTACGTACCAGGCAAGGTGTAAGGAAAGATAACAAAATGAACCGATGAGTGGTTAAGAGTGTTCTAGGAGATAACTGTGGTTTGAATCCTAGCCTCGTCACTTACTAGCTGTGTAACTGTGCAAAGTTACCTGGCCTCTTTGTGTCTCACTCTTCTCATCTGCAAAATGGGGACACAGCTGACCCCTGAACCATTCCCTTGCAGTAAAAAATCCACATATACCTTTTGACTCCCTGGTACCTAACTACTAATAGCCTGTTGACCAGAAGCTTTACCAATAACATATAACATAATCAATTAACATGTATTTTGCATGTTTTATACACACACATATATATGTACATACTATATTCTCACAATAAGGTAATCTAGAGAAAACAAAATGTCATTAAGAAAATCTTAAGAAAAATACATTTACAGTACTATATGTATTAAAAAAAAAAAAAAAAAAAAACACATATAAGTGGACCTGTGCAGTTCAAACCTTTGTTCAAGGGTCAGCTATACTTATCCCTTGGGGATTGTTGTGAAAGAGATGAGTGCAAAATAAATAGGATGCATTAAATAATAGCTTCATTTATACTACTAAATAAAAGAAAGGTCACTATCTAGTGATCACTATTTCAATGTTTTACAGATGGGTACATTCTTAAAAATCTAGGTGGGCCCCCTCTCACTGTGTAGATGGGAAAACTGAGCCCCAGAAAGGCAATGTTCTGTACACAGCTGTGATGGAGAAGGGGTAGGAACCAGAAAGGAGGGAATGAGAGGGATCGGGAGGAAGTGAAGAGAATAAAGCCCAGTTTCTTCAACCTACATTCATGACCTCCTCAACTTGGGCCTCAATTTCAATAACCCCTCTCACAACTTCCCATTACTCTATTAGAGGCAGGGTAGCCACCTGCTATCCCTCAAACATGCTCAAGATTATCCTCTGCCTATGTGTTCTTCATGTCTTCTCTCAACAGTTATGGATCACCACCTAGATCTCAACTGGCCCTACCCTGACCACCAGAGTACAGGCCTAGGCAAACTCCACACCCTCTCTTCTGGACAGTTCCTCAGTTTCCCCTGATAGAAACCTACTTATATGCAGGATCACAAATGTGATGTGTGTCTCTTCTGCTTCATACCCTCCACAGGGCCTACGTGAAGCCATATGACAACCACACTTCGATAAATATTATGATTGATTAGTAAGTGGGTGGGTGATAGGGAGGAACAGGGGAGCCATCCAGCAGTATGTCTATTTTTTAAGAATGATTTAACATTCAGGATAGGCAAAGCAGCACTGCCTCACTTAATTCAAAGAGCCACCTCCTGTGGCCTGCAGCACTGAGCAGGCTGACTCATTCCAGTTGCTCTGCCTGTTAGGGGGAAATTCCTAGTCCTGCATGCTCTACAAAAGTAGAGAGAAACTTGGCAGGGGGCAGCATGCTGGGAAAAGGAGGCAGCAGTTCTAGGCTCATAAGTGGTGGCGGGATTATTTGTTTCAATCAGGCAACCAGTGTTCATTGAGCAATGACATTAGAGAAGGATGGAGGAGGAGGAATGAGATTTGAGGGAGCTGCACTTGATGTGGAAAAACACAGAAGGGTGGAAGCTAAGCAACTCTGTGTTAAAATGTTACAAGTTGGGTCCATCCACACACCTGAAATAGGCCCCTGCGGACCGTGAACTGGGCAGTGGACTACACATTCTCATGCAGTCTGCCACTCACCAGATGGGGTCGATTCACCTCTCTCTAACCCTCGGTTTTCTGGTCTGAAAAGCGGAGTCAAAACTGCCAGTCCCCCACCCCTCCCAGGGTTGCTGAGCATCAGATGACAAGTAAGCAAGCCTTAAACACCATATAAGTGGTATTATTCATCTTCTTGGCCTCTCCTGTCCTCTAAAGCTGAAGTGTGCTGTTTCAAAGGCCCACGTGGGTCCATGGTCCAAAAACGGGCATGGGGGCCTAAAGATACGTAATATTTCATTTGAACTTCACCAATGAGCACGACTACTAGGTTTCGCTTCCCCAGGCCCCGGGTCTATTAAAAACGGGCTCAGATGTCTCCCACGGGGAGAGCTGGGGCACTTGCGGCCTTGCCGGAGGCTTCCAGGGATGCGCTGGCTTCCCTTCCAACCTCCTCCTGGACAGCTCTGCCCATTCAGCGGGTCCCAATCCCACGAGGACGGGCTCCGCCGAGCCTGCCTGCTTCCTTACCGGCCACCGCTAACGTCCTGTGACAGGCCTGGGCCCACCCTCGCGGCGGCCCACCCCTCGGGGCCGATGCCTCCGCAGCCATTAACAAAGAGGGTCTGGGGGCGCCTGGGAACCAGGGGGCCGGGTGGGGGGCCGGCTCCGGCCCGGCCGTGCTGCGGGGCCGGGGTACCCACCTTCTGCTCGACGCCCTGCAAGCCCTGACCCAGCTCCTCCCGCTGCCGGGAGAAGTCCTGGTGGCTGCGCCGGACCTGCTGCACCTCCTCCAGGACGTGGTGCACACACCAGCCCGAGAAGGCGGCCGCGGCCACGAACGCGAGGTAGAAGAGAAAGTTGAGCGCCCGGCCGAGCCTGCGCGAGCAGGACGCCGAGGACGAGGCGGCGGCGGCGGCGGAGGACTTGCCGCCGCGGTGGCCGCCCTTGCCGTGCGCCTGGTTCTGCGGCTGCGGCGCCGGGTGCTGCTGCGGGTGCGGCGCGGGCGGCGGCGGCTGCTGCGGCGCCGGCGGCGGCTTCTTCGCCACGTCATCCGCGCCGCCCGACGGGTGGGCGCCCTTCTCCGAGGGGCTCGCGGCGCCGTGGCCGCCCTTGGAGCCCCTTTGTTTGGCCGAGGGCATGGCGGGCGCGGCGGCGGGGAGGCCGCGGGCTGCGGGGCGAGCGAGCGGGACGCGCGGCCGGGAAACTTCCTCGGGCTCCCCCGGGGCTGGGCGAGCGGCACGCGGGCGCTGCTGGCGTCGGAGCGGCCGAGAGCGCGGGCGGGCGGGCGGCGAGGAAGGAGGCCGGGCGAGGGAGGAAGGAGGAGGGGGCCTGGCTCCGCCGCCGCCGCCGCCGCCGCGGCGCCGACCCCGCCTCCCGGGGAGGAAGGCCGGAGACCGAGCGGGCCGAGCTGCCACGCACGCGGGCCGGCGCGCGGCCCCTCCCCCGCCACGACCCCGGAGGAGGGCTGGCCGGGCCGGCGGGGCGGGCAGGGGCCAATCGGGGCCTCGGAGGCCCGGCCGGGTGGGGGCTAGGGAGGAGGTGACCGCGCGGGCCGGGGGGAGGGGAGCCGAAGGGGCGACGGGGCCGGAGCGGGCGGCTGGAGTGGCGGAGGGAGGGAGGGAGGCCGGGTGGGGTCTAGGGAGCCGGGGGCCGACAGCCGAGGTGGCCAAAGGGAGGGGGCGAAGGGCTGGGGGCCCCGGGGCCGAGACTGGCGACTGAGCGGGGCCCTCGGGGGCGGGCGGCCCGGGTGGGGGTAGCCAGGCGGCTCGGAAGGAGGAGAGCCGGGGACGACCCGCTGCAGTGAGCCAGGCGCGAGCCCCCTCCCTGCGGGACCTGTGCGGAGAGAGGAAATGAGGAGGGCGCCCCGGAGCCCTGCCCCTGGGAGTGGGCGTAAGGGGGCGGGAATAGACCCCCGTTCCTTCCCGTTGGGAGTTGGGGCGCGCGTGCACGCACTCCCCATGCCATCCTCCAAGCCCGCCGCGGGGCTGGGCCTTGTCTCCTTCCTTGGGTTTGGAGGCCGAGGCCGAGAGGACTGCGTTGAACATCCAGACAGCCCCGGAGGCATGATTGGAACAGTTAGCAGAGATTCCCGGACTACGTGAAACCTCTTCGTGGAAATACACACATTGAGCATCCCCTTAGCCAGAGCAGTCCACTGTCAACGCTGTTTATCTTTTTCCTGAAGCCCTGTCAACTGCGTTTTGTCTCTGGGGGTCCCGCAGCCTGTCCACAGGCCCTACAGGGACAGGTTCTGTGCATGTGTTGGGAGGCGGATAAGGCTGTCGCCCCTACTTTGACAGGAGGGAATATAATAACGCCAGGATTGTTCGTAGCAACTTACACGTGCTCCTAACACCACAAAAACCTTGTAAGGTCGAAGTTATTTTACCCACTTTATAATAAGGAAACTGAGGCTGAACCTCCACCCCAAATGCCTGGCTCAAGGTCACATTCAGCCATCTGTTTCTTCCAAAACCTGTGCTGCTTAATCACTTCCGAATAGGAAGGAAATGGGGCCTCATGGAAATTAAGCAACTTGCCCACACTCACTAAGGCTAGTTGCTGCTGGGGCAGGGACCGAACCCCACTCCACTGCTTTCCTCCTGAACCTCGTGTCTGGTGTGTGCCTAGCACTGTGTGTGCCTAGCAATATGCTGTATGAACACTGTTCCTTCTGCCTGTTCTCCCAATGCTGTTTTTAAAAAACATTCCCTGTCCTTAAGGACTAGCTGAAATGCCACTCCTTTCATGATGCCTTCCCTGTAACACCACCTGAACCTCACATAGAACTTAGAGGCAGCAAATAACCTTTGTTTAGGTCCCACTATGTGCCAGACAGATGTCTCTAAATTATTAAAGTCTCCACTCCTTGAGGACAGGAAACAACTATTGCTTATATTTCTCTTTGTATCTCGCCTTCTAAGGTGCTTTTGAACATCTCTAGTGAATGAATGAACACATGTGTGCCTGCCCTCGAGGGGCCTGCATTAGATGTGGAGAAATGTGCATAACCATTTTGAGGCTAAATTATATGGTTGAAAATATAAATGTAAGGTAAACTTGGAAAGCAACCCACTGGGCTGTACGTGGGGAAGTCTTCTGGGGCAGAAAGGTCTTGAGCAAAGCCTTGAAGAATGGATTTGCATAGGAGGAAAGCAAGAAGGCTATTTCTGTGGTGGAAATGGGGTGAGCCCGGGACACCTGTCTGATATGAAGGGTGTGTGTTGCAATATAGAGAATGAGATGAGCTGGGTGGAGTGGGCCTCAGATTGCAGAGGCCAGTCGGAGCCGGCCAGACAGGCAGAAGAGTCACTATTAGCATGGGAGGCCAGAGTAAATTATAGTAGGTTCTAGAAATATAATCATTTGCCCCAGATAGGAACCTCCTAGTTCAACAGGACACACAACTCTGACCTTGGGTGGGAGGTGGGGAGGGGGTGGCAAAGGAAAACAAAACACTAATTTTAATCAGAAGGTGCTAGAAAAACCTTGTTTAAAAACTTCAGCTAAGTTCAGATTGTGTTTAGAATCTCCAGCACACAGGAAAGCTGTCACCCTCCGAGCAGTCATCCGTGCCAGGGCAGGCACAGCAATACCCTGCAAAACAGCGTTAGGAGCCCAGCCAAGCTCTGGCCTGGGAGGCAGGAGCCCTGCTTTGTTAGCCTTGGTTCTGCCACCAAACTAACTGACCTTGAAAAGTGTACTTAACCTCCTCTCTGGAGTTCAAGGTCATCCCTTCTGCATCTCTAAAGACCTTTATTATTATTAATCTATTTCTTAGAGAAAACAGTCATCTGATTGTCATCAGAAATCATTAAATATTCAAAAATTTTAAGTTGATTTAGACTGTAGGCCAGATATAAAAATGGGAAGTTTTTCAACTTTCTGACTCTGCTGAGCCCCGAGAAGAATAGAGGGGAGGAGGAGGGGACAATTATTTTCAGTATTTCTCTTCCCTCCTTATCCTCTGGGAGGTAGTGAAGTATGGTGGTTAAGACACAGGGTCTGGGATAGACTGACTTGTGTTCAAAGTCAGCTCCACGACAGACTGGGGAACATGACCTCTGAATCTCTGTGTCTTCATCTGTGAGACGGAGATAATAAGAGCTACTTCACGTGTTGTTGTGAGGATTAAACGAGACACCATGTAACACTGGGCACATAGCGAGGTTCAGTGAATAAAGGGGAGCCAACACAATCTGCAGAGTCACTGAGGGAAAGGACAGCTGCACAGACTTTCTATGTCTAGCTTTCAATGATTTTCTTTCATCATCATTTCTTGGAGCGTCCAGTACCATATGTGGCTTATAGACCACAGGCTCTGATGTGTTTAACTTGAAAAAGCGGGCACTGTTTCCCTCTGAAGGGGGTTCCACGGTGATGTCGGGCTGCACGCAGAGGAGAAGGTTGGTAAGCAAGGAGTGGAAGTGCGTCTTCTAGGGCAGGAAGGCACTGACGAGGCTTCCATCCTTCTGCCCCATCTTCTGAGTCAGCGCAGACAAAGGTTCCCTTCTTTTCCCTCTAGGTTTCTTCTCTATCCCTTTTCCTCTTCATCTTCCCTAAAGCGTGTGAGTGGCTCCCCAGCTTGTGCAAAGCCTCTTCAGAACACCACTGGACTACATGGACCGTAAGTCACAAGACAGCTTTGTGAGCCCGCAGCCCTCCTGGGTTCTGTATTTCCATTAGAATGCCTAAATAAAAAGCCCCTGTTACTACTGATTGCCTCTTCTCTGTGCAACGTTGATAAGACACACCCCCCCCCCCCCCCAGAGGCCAAGGCAGGAGCCTGAATGCCCTGCAAACAGGGTGTGTTAGAGGTGGGGGTCTCCCTTATAGTTTGGCTCTGGAGACCTAGGAACCCCCTCTCCCAGCCTCATGGTTCACACTCCCAGGAGCACCCCAGCTCCAAATCCTATAGCTCCATGCAGTAGGGGAATTATTCCTCGGCGCTCCCAGCATCATATGTGGCCTCTAGACCACAGGCTTCCCCTCCCTGGGTCCCACTTTTTATGGAAGATAGCCATAGTACCTATCCTCTAGAGGCAGAGTGAATATTAAATTGGTTTTCTCCTCCCCATCGGCTTCACTCATAGCCTTCCTCATGCCAATAATGCCTGCCTGGTTGCTCAGGAGTGATCCTTGACTCACCATCCCCCCACACCCAATGCAGTATATTAGCAAATCTTGTCTTTACCTTCAAAATATATCCAGCATCTCTCACTCCTCATGACCTGCACCACTCACTACCACTGCTCCAAGTCACCACCAGTTCACACTTGGATTATGGAAATAACACCATGCTGGCCTCTCTGCCTAGCATTTGCTGCCCTGTGGCGTGCTTTCAACACCCTAGCCAGAGCAGTCCCTGGAAATATGTCAGATCACGTAACACCTTTCCTAAAACCCTCCAGCGACTGTCCAAGTCAGTGGGAGTAAAAGGAAAGATTGTACAGTGACCTCCACAGCCCCCATGTTCTGACCCCCTGCTGCCTACCCTCTCGGTCTCATCCCCTTACTCACCACCTTGATCACTGACGTCAGACACAGTCTCCTTGTCGCTCTTCCATACGCCAGGTACGTGCCTACCCTGGGCCTTTTGTAATTGTGTTCCCTGTGCCTGATGAACTTTACACACACACACACACACACACACACACACACACACACACACGGCCATCTACTTTGCAGGGTCCTTCACTTCCTCAATTCAAATGTTACCTGTAGGCGTGCTGTCCCTTGACCACCTTCTATAACAACTGCTCAGCCTGTGACGCTTCCTTTCCCTGCCTCCTTTTTCAGTGTAGTACTCATTTTTCTTTGACATACTGTATATTTGCTTGTTTAATTATTATTGCCTGTCTCTTTTCATTAGACTGTAAGTTCCAAGTGGGAATGTTATTTAGCTCACTCTTGTATCCCCAGCACCTAGAACAATGGCTCGCACAAAGTAAGGAGTTCAGTAAATGTTCTGAATTTCACATTATTCAAGTTCCTAATGTCAAGCCTTCTCTTTCCTAAGACCCCCACAAGGAAGGAGAGTACAGGGGAGGAACCCAGTGAGGAACAACCTGCTAAAGCTTCAATGTCATGACAATGGGAATGATGGTGATGATGACACTGATGATGGGGATGGGGATGA